AGTTGTGTTTATATTATATATATATACTGTGTTTATAATATAATTATAAACACAGTGAGAGCCACGCAGATGCACGTGAACTCTGAATTCTGTTCACTTCCGCGTCAATTAATGACACACAGCCTACGCGTGAACTTATGTCAAAATGCATGTCTCTGCCTTTTTCTGCAAGTATCCTTGTAAACACAGTTGCTTATGGCTTAGGTGAAGATAAACAATTGAGAAAGAAAATGGATGTGTGAGAAAATTTTGTAGCTTTAACAGATTTATTAGATTTAATTTATAAAGTGAAGAATTTGCAGTGTTATTTTACATTTGATTATTCAATTTCTGTACCTGAATACTGTTAGACTTACCTGAAAAATGTAAAGCACAGCTTATTTCATTTGTATCTTTGTTCTGTTATATTTATCTATGCTTGTAATTTGTTTATTTCCTATGCTGATTTACTCGCCTACAAAATCACCCCAATCAATATATTTTTTTCCAAATAAACTATTCAAGCCATGTGGTGATTTTTTTTTCATATCGCAATATATATGTCACGGGGTTGCTACTGTCAGGTTGTTCCCATACAAGTCTAAAGCGGTCAAATGTTTCCAGACAGACAGATAACTCTAAAGTCTTTCAGGGGTCTGAGACACTATTAGCACTTCATGACAGAAACAAAACTCAAAGCACTTTCTTACACTAAGCATTATGTAATGTGCACAGGCTTTTAACATTTAGATCTATTCACCTGCAGCCGCTATAAAATGTATCAATATGCATATTCTCTAGGAATTGAACCCCTGGTTCTGGTGCTGATATGCTCTACCACTTGAGCTACAGAAACATTTTTGAATGTGACAGCGTTCTAACAACCAAGTCATCTACCCGTCATCCATGCATTACATTGGCAGCAATATATCAAGCTCTTCTACTGAAGCAACCCTCTGGACTGTTCTCCAAAAGCAGCATGGTAAAATGTGACATAACGGATCAAGAAAAGTGCTTAAATTTGTATTTATGGGTCTGGGTGGTCAGATTAAGGGCGCATCTTGTGAAGCATCAAGCTGCACAATGAGTACGAACACTCATGTCTGCACTTGCAAGGGTTACAATACCAGCTGAGCTGCAGCTGTGTTTGGAGTCTGCCTACTGCTCTATCACAGACAGCTGGCAAATAAAAGATGAAGATTCCCACAGTGATGTACCACAGGTTACCTGCAGATGAAGCATAACAGAGGGACGAATTGATGTGTGTACGATCACAAATACGGGTGGGAACAATCCTCTGCAAATTGTATTCAAAAGACCAACATTTTGTGTGTGCGTTTAAAATGAAGCATGTATTATAATACAAAACAATACTATAAGAAGGTATTTCCAAAAGACAAGTCAATATATCAGCACTTAAATATGCGGATCTAACCACTTTGACCTCAATCCAAACCACAGTCACACTTCACAACAGAACAAATAACAGCAGCAGGCTGTTTTCCATATGTGCCAATTCGTTTACGTTCAGCCACATCGATAAACAAGCCACAGCATTTACAACAAGAGCCAAAAGATGATCTAACCAAACTAAAACACTGAAAATTAACTCTTTTTTTCATAATGTGACATACGATACATCCAAGTGTAACGCGGATCACTGAAAAAGAAAAGACAAATATGCGCAGACTTCATTCTGTCCATCTTTTGTTGACTGAATTTTTTGTTTGTTTGTTGTTAAAGATTTTGACTTTCATGCTTGCCTTAAACTCAAAAAAGTGACGAATTGTAACTAGCAACCTCAAGGTTATGGGTTTGATTCCCAAAGAGTGCATGCACTGATAAACTGGATCAACTAAATGCAACATTAATTCTTCTGATTATTAAAAATGTCTTCACAATAAGGAGTAAAATGGTTCTTTTAAGAAGTCTTCACGTTTGGGGAATCTAAAATGGTTCTTCTATGGCATCGTTGCGCATACCCCACTTTAGAACATTTATTTTTAATAGCGTAGCATACCTTTTTTCTAAGTTGTCATAAATGTGTGATTTTACTGCAATAAATTCAAGTACCTAGCATTTGCCGAATGTAACAGACCATATTAGGTTGCCATACAGCTCACAAACAAGATATATAAAAGAGCACACTGAGACCATTAATAATCTCCTGTCCTCAAAATCTCATTGAACATGGGCCCAGTTATCCCAGCACTGTGCGCTAGATTCCTCTGCGCTTACTTGGAAGACCACGTGGGTGTTAAATTGACCAGGATGGCTGGACTATATCTAGATATTGCATAAGATACAGTAAATGTGGGCATACTAGGGAGGCCAAGACGGTGAAAGACACAACAGAAATGTGCTTGTAACTACGGTCTGGAGCAGTAAACCCAATATATCCACAGGAATCCAGACCTACCTTAAAATCCACCCCTGATGAAGTCAGGGTATACTTGTGACTCTCTAATCAGAGAGACATCTCAAAATAAAATAGCATGTCGTAACGCTAGATATCATGGGACAAAGCTCCAACACTTAAAAGGCTTTGTAGAGTCAAAAACAGAGCTAATAATAACTACCTACTTTTAAAGGGATGCTGCAGAGAACAATGAAAGTTCTGTCATCATTTATTCAGATTTTAAAAACAAAAAGATATTAAGAACAGTTTTTGTCCAATCAAAGTCAGTAATGTCCAAAATGACACTAGACCCCATTGCCTTTCATTGTATAGACAAAAAAACATTTTTCAAAATATCTTCTTTTGTGTTCCTCAAAAGAGAAACATCATACAGGTTAGGAATAACATTTATAACAATTATGACAGAATCTTTTTTGTGAACTATTCCTTTAAATCATGGCTTTGGTATTAAGTAAAATTTATGATAAAACCATTCCCGACTAACAAAAGCTGGATTTGCTTAAGTGAACTGAAACTTTGTTAATCGATAACTGCAGGTCTACAGCTCTCAAAGGAGTTTCCTACTTTTTCTTCATCTCAAATAAAGGTCAAACAAGCTAAAAGTAAAAGGACAGTGGGCGTAAACCCACTTGCAACCCTTCTTTATCATCACACAAAACTTCAACGACCTCACAAGTAGCCAGTTTAACCCAAAAATGACATGCGTCAATAAAGAGCAAAGAATCGTCTCTCAATTACCAAGTCATTGATAGTTAACAGCAGGGAGGGGGCACTTGATTGCGTCAGTAAACTAAAAGGTAATAAAGTGCTTTTATTGGGGTTTTGTCAGTGCTGATTGATACTTATGACCCTGAAATTCCAGTAGGACACCAGGGATGCCGGTGGCAACTGAAGCCCTATGTTCAACTGAATGAAATGAACTCTTTAACAAATCTTAGGCAGGCTTGTAATGGAAAAAAACACATGGCACTGCTTCCATTTAATTCAATTATATTGCAGTTGACTCAGTGGTCCCTGAGACAAAGCAGCGAAGATCTCAAATTACCAAAGGCGATGGGCCCCTGCCACACATCAGTAAACTAAGAGAGGCTCATGTTCACTAGTGTCTGAATGATAAGAGAGGGATTATACATGGTATGCAGGATGAACACAAGCCGATTTAAAGAATCTCAAGTTATACATGACAGGACTTTCCGTTAGCATGTGATGCAGAGGATTTTTGAAGGATTTAACATCAAAGGCTTTCCAAGGAATCACTAATTTGAGCTAACTAGTTAAACTAACTCCAAAAGGGACAGGAGGGGGTAAATGACTGTACAGCCTACTGAGAATCTCTCCCCTAAAAAAAGGTGGTTTATGGTAGTTTACGATCACTGAAAGTAAATTTTATATGCTTTACAAGGAACAGATCAACAATAGCTTACTGTATAGTTCAACTTTAAGCAAAATAGTGCAGTATTACAAAAGCTGATTTACTTTCCACTTTGTGGTGTTAAAGTAATTTCACATGCTATTCCAACGTATCAATTCCAGTCAGTAACTCTCCACCTACATGCGCAATAAAGTTCAAATGGATCTACCAGCAAGCTGGAAATAGTACAGTATTACAGGTACCAAGAAAGATGAGATGTAGGTATTTGTTTTTCACATTAACTTTCATACCTACTCATTAGATTGGCTGCTTTGTCTCATTGAGACACTGTTTATTTTAATCACAATACACTATCAAACTGTTGCTGTATAAACCTCTCAAGTTAATGCACAATGTCATAATAAAAGCAAGAACTCAAAGACAGTTTTCACAAGGTTGTCAATTTCTTTGCAAGTGCCTTACACAAACATTGAGAGTCGATAAGCAAGTCTTTCCAGCAGTTGTGCTTTTATGTGATTTATGAAAAGCATAGGAGAACAAATGCAGTCTACATGCATTGCTTTAATCATGACAACATGAGAAAGGAAGCAATCACAGAATAGAGTTAGATTATGCCACCCATAATCAAGATAACCCGCTTCCTTTTTCACTTGCAACTATAATAAACAATAAAAAATATAGACTATGCAACTATTACATAACACATATATCAGTTAATTAAGGTGAAATAAATTAATGTGCATGACTGGATATGAAATATGACATTACAGAATTAACAGTATCTTACAGAATTTATACAATGTATACAACATTAATAATAGGGGTTTAAATTCAGAAGCAATGACTTTTTATAAAGTGAAAGTGCTCTGAATCAATGAGTGTCAAATAAATAAAGTTAATCAAGTATAAAGACATGAAAGACGCCAGTGAGACCAACTATGAATAGCTCGTTTCTATGGATAAAATTAGACCAGGACTAGAACACACATGCAACACTTGAGTCGAGCTTTAGATATGCGTGTGAGATCAATGCACCTTAACATAACGTTCACATGATACAATTCGCGATTTACTAAATGCTGCGAAAAGAACGGAGTGAAAATGGATATAACGACGCAAAGTTTTGCAAAGTAACTTTGCGCGTGGATTTCTATTGATACAGTTACCGGTTACAAAATGGCAGGGCAGTGTGATATTAAAAGTGTATAAAAATACAGATGAATCACTTACATTAAACAGATGCGATGTAAATATCAAAGGGATGATAAAAAGAGTGAGTTTATGGGCACGTATCCTCGTTCCCATTTCTGCCAACCCAGCAAGACTCCAAACACGCCGCTGGGAAAATCAAAGTCCGTCACTTGTGAAGCCACTGAGGATTATATTCGCACAAGTTTGAAGCGTTTCTTCTACAGCAAGGCCGCAGTCGCTTCTCCGTCCCACACTTGGTGGGACTTCATTTACCAAAAAAGAAAGAAATCCGTCTGCTGTTGAGTCCTTGTGAGATAACACGAAGAGAAACCGATGGTTGACTTGTGAATATCCGTTTTGTTCTCTTGGTCCCACTTTCCTATGGGCAGCAGAAAGTTCAGCATGCACTTCAGCACTGATCACTTCAGTGCGATGATGTTGAACTGTTGACGATGGCTGTGTCTCATATCATGGAGAGTTGCCTAGGTGGACAGCATATTTGAGGTCTGCTCAGCAGACGCGAAAAGCCACTCGGAACGTATACGATGCCCAGAAGTATGTCGCCCAAATATGTTGTCTAGATAGGCAGCTCACTAGGATTTGAGACACAGCCTACCAGCGAATGGCGTAAAAAGGCGGAATGGAACTCCGGGAGCGAGATTTTACAGCCGGACTATACGCCTCTTCTAAGGGGAAATACTGCATGAGTGTTTTTAACAAAATGAGAGTTTACATGAAAATACACAACATATGTTTTGTACTGTGACTTTACAAGATGTCTAAAAAATGCAAATAAGCTCATTTAAAAATGTATTAAAAATACCAAATCCATAATTACACTATAACCAAATTAATCTGCAATGCCTGTTGTGTAATTTTTTATTATAAAAAATAAGCTAACTATTTAATAAAACACTTCACCTTTGCCTATTCATGCTTGTTACACCAAGGGTGAATACAGGTAATGCGGGACACTTACATTTATAATAGTAAGTTTTTTTTTTTAATAATAATTAGGCCTATTTAATAATTTGACCTGTGTAGTGTTGTTTTTAGAGATTTTTTTAGCTGTTTCAAATGGTATGGTGTGAGGGGCTAAATTATTTGACATCATATTTTAAAACAACACCAAATGACAAATAATCAGAAAGCATCTCACTTTGAAATATTATTTAAAAAGCAAACCTGAATTTACAGCTCTACATCTATGAATCATCTATTAATCATATTTGCAAATTGTCACTTTAGCTGGAAAGATGCAGAGAGAAGCATTAATAAAGTTGATTATTATAATTAAATGTTTACAATTTTTAATGACTATTGCAGTACTTTGGTCATTTTTGCATTATCTGTTTTCTGAAAGTATGGTTGTTTTGTAGTCAAAATTATTCCAAAGTTAAAAGTTACCACATTTGATTGTGATGCCTGTTCATGAGCTTAATGTTTATTGTTTGCTATTCAAATAAATGTGCTCTTGGTTAGATCACTTTGTGGCAGTAGCACCACCTAATGACGCAAAACTTACGATGCTTTTAAAAGTCTCTGCTGAAGATGTCAATGTTGATTACAACATTACATACATTTTTATGGTTTGGCCCAAAAATACCTCTCTCTGTCAAAAATGTAAACTTGAGTTACATCATATATGTTCAGTTTACATATTTTCACATTTCTCTTGGCATCAAGTGCATCAAGAAGCATTTGGACATCATATGTTACAATGTAGCTTTATGGCCACATATATAAGCCTATAAAATTTATGTCAGTAGATCCAGTTTGTGCACTAACCTAATCTCAAAAGAAGTTTCCCACAGAAAAACAACACTCCCCCTGATCACTTCTGTCATTTCGTTCTGTTCAGCCATTCAGAATTTTCTCCAAACAATATCACAAGGACATCTGCACAGGATCTGGTTACATGCCCAGTCACATCCAAAACGGGGATAAAGTATGCCTCTGTCTTGCGGTGAGATTTTAGAGCAGCTGTTTTTAATTTAGACTTCATCTGCCCAGCTGGATTTCCTCTAGCAACTCCAAAACAAGACTGTAAAGAATGGTTATTGAGAAAGCAGCCAAGATGCATCACTGTATATGTGAAAATACAGATGCACGTTGCTTATTGCGACACGAAATGGATGTCAGATTGTTACATCTTACGATGTAGCTGACTGTAATTAAATAATTCATGCTACATTCCTTTTGGAATAACTTGGTTTGAGCCCTCACAGCTAAATTGCCAAAATGAGAGCTTGGGAGGGGAAATTATGCCTGGAAGGAACACATGAATATCGGAAAATAATCTGAGAAAACGTAAAAGTAAAACATATTATCTTACAGAATAATCGTATTTATTATAACGAGTATCTCATTCAATTTACAAAACCAATATCAGGTGTATTTGTTTACATATGCATATCTAACCCGTTGTCTCCACCTGCTGGAAGTTATAAGTAACTGTTCTGAAATACAGGGTACAGGCTTGTCACCAGTACATTACAAAACAGACTGAAAAATACTAAAAAGTGGTTTATTTTGGAAGGGTATATGTTTTATTGTGTCATTCCCATTGCAATTAAGGTCTACATCAATATACACAATGGCATGTCATCATATTAAAAAATAATGAATAGTGACAAAGGATGCATGCAACTTTTTTATACCAACATAGCACCTGAAGACAATAAAAAAAAAAAAAACGATTTGATGACTGTTTAATTTCTGTTTGGAGATACAGTCTTTAGGGAACTTTTGCAGGCAGGCGAGTTAAGCAGCCTTTCAGGAAAGTCAACTTTCCTGGTTTATATAAAGGAAGAGAAGAAACTCAAAAATAGACCAAAGATGAGTAAGGTGTGCTTAATGCAGTCAAGCAAGCCTTGCACTTGTGTTTTGACATCTGATGTTCTTATTATATGTGTTCAGACTAATCTATTGTATCCTGCAAAAAAAAAACACACTTCATAACACATTTCAACCGTCATGTCATCTAGTCATACCAGATAGTCACAAACTGCATGTTGACAGTAAAAACAAAGGTTGAAGAAGGACAAGCTTACATAAATATCATTTTAGTCATAGCTATACAGCAGGATATACAGTGTTTTTTTTTATCTATCCACACATCATATATATTTCGAAAGAATCTATTTAGTGTTTGTGTATATTTCACTAGCTCCGCCCACCATTGCACAAATAGTAGCCTACTATTTAGCTATTCCTACATTTAAAAGTTCAAATTCATAAAACATAATTGACTAATAACACTAGACAGCGTAAATTAAATGTTCTATTTTATAAAGTCGAAATTATCTTTATAAAAGAACGCTTCTGAATGAGCTGAAAGTGGCGGATACAATGAATTACGGTTACTCAATGCATATTCATAGATGCTTATCCAATCAGAGTTGCGTATGCAAATTTACAGGACAGGTGCGCAGCCTCACAGTGAAGTGAACCTGTTTTATACAAAACCTGTAACGAACAGTCAAATAGGTAAAGCACATGACAGCAAAGAAGACGGAGCCGGGTTAATGTATCGGAACTTACCTTACCTACACTTATTTATTACCCTCGGACTCGGACGTCTAAACATTATGCTTATATTTATTCGCTTCAAATGTTAGACTTCTTGACCAACTTCGAAATTCTTGCATTAATAAAAATACCGCTGAATGCTTGTGGGACCATGAAGTTGAATAGATAAATGAAAGTAAAAGATAGACGATGGAGATAGATTCGGTGAGAGTCGAGTCGAGTCTGTGGATCGGTAATAAGCGGTACAGGGCTTTCCTAAACGGATGGTACTTCAGCTGGACTGAGATCGACAAGAGGAACCGGGAGCAGGAAACAAGTACGACATTCGTTATCTTTCTAAACACAGCTGAGGCCCTAGGTGCTGATGCGATCTAAGTGCTGTAGGCAGCTCACTAAATTTTAAGACAGTTGTAACTGTTATTTAAATCAGATAGCTTGGTAGAAATATTTGGTTTATTTCTTGTTTCTACATTTCTTAATCGGTTAAAAAGCTAATAGCCTAAGTGTACTCAAGATCATATTGTGGGTGTGCTTAGGGTGTATTTCAAAATTACATACTGAGGTAATTGTTGCTGTGAATGTTGTTTGCTTCAAGTTACTATTATATGTAGGCCTAGACGAGTAACCGCAAAATCATTTAAATGCATTTAATTATTATTCGATTAAAGGCGCACTCGGTCATTTTTTTGATAATTATAAACGTAATGAATAGCACTTTTGAGAAATATAAAAATTATGTTTACTCACATGTAGTGTTGTCACGGTACCAAAATTTAAGTATTCGGTACCGATACCAGTGAAAATCCACGGTTCTCGGTACCAACATGAGATAAAAACTCTTGTCTTTTTATTTTTATTTTTTATGTATCTATAAGCAGGTCGCCCCCTCTTGGGCGCGGCCATGTTGACATCACATGACCAGCTGTGCTTAATGGACTGTGTTACTAATATTATTAACAGTAATGTTTAATATTATAAGCCCAAGTCAACAGCTTTTATTTTTACTAAGTAACAAAAAAATGTAAAATAATTTGCTGATAATTACTGGTATTGGGATGAAGAAGAGCCATTGAAACACAAGTGCACCATTGACATCAGTCATCAGACATCAGCTGCTTAAAGTCACTCTTATTTTGGTAGATAATTAATTGCAATATAATAATTAAAATGCATAATGTACCATTATTTTTGATTAATGGCACATGCAGTCATTATAAACACTTTGCGCAAAGAAATAAATAGCACTTTTGAGAAATATAAAAATGATTTACTCACGAGATGAAGCTGTCTTCTAAAGAAAAAGACGACCTTTGTACGTAATGGACTGAGGTACTGATATTAATAACAAAAATAAGTTTAATAATATAAGAGCCCAAGTCAACAGCATTTACTGTTAATAAGTGACAAGAATTAAAAAAAATAATAATATTAAAATAATTTGCTGTTAATAATTAGTATTTGGATGAAGAAGAGACATTAAATATAAACAAAAACTTATGATCAAAAACATACTGACTGTACCTTTGACACATCAATCGCTTATATGAAGATGATTAACCACCATATAATGATTTGATGCTGAGTGTATCATTATTATTAGTTTAATTATTGACAAGAAATATAGAAAAAGAGTAGTCATACTATGTGCACTATATATCCATAGTTCTATTTGAACTTAATTTATTTGCATTAAAGTATAGATGTTGCAACATAATCCAGAGACAGAGTTGGATTGGATTCAATAGAATAATCCAAAAACATATAAGTGTATTGCTCAACGCTCCGCTGATGAATGAAAATAATGATTAAAAGTCCTTCTTTACTGGCAATTTGACTTTTTTTTGCAGTCTAATGACCTCAAAACAAGTTGAACAGTACCAGCCTTGACAATAAACACGGTATACCCTAGGGCTGCACGATTAATCGAATGCGATTGTCATGCGCATTTTGTTAAAAAAGCCGGTTCTGTAATCAACAGGAAATCATCGTCACGTGCTTTCAGATGGAGCAGAATTTACTTGGGTTTCTTCTGCGAGGCGTATTTGTAGTTTCAGCGCGAGAGCGCCCTCTGGCCTTTGGATGGAGATTTACTGCTGATCACAGAACCGTGCTTCACTGAGAGATACGCATGACAATCGCAGCTTCTGTCGAATCGCGATCTCGATTCCATTTCGATTTATCGTGCAGCCCTAGTATACCCTGAACATAAAAGACGTCTGCATAAAAAAGGCCTGAGTAGGAATGGTGGAATATTTCTTGAGAATATGAGAAACGGGTACAATATATCACTTATGCAAGACTGTAAAGTGTCTGTCTGTTGTTCTTAGTTTCAGTGCCAGTGTCAGAGGTGATTGGGGTGAAGGAGGGTCGAATCGAGATCCAACCCCAGAAGAAAGTAGAAGACACTGACCTTGATTTTACATGCAAGTTTCTGAAAGGGAATTTTTTTGCATAGGGGTCAAATACAGTGATGTTAGACTAAACATGTTTTTGTCTTTTTCTTATCACAAAAGTATTCTATGTGAAGCGCAGCAGCAAAGGAAACGGTATTGGAGCACCGTGGAGTCTGGGCAGGACCCAGTTCTGCTGTCCAAGCCGGGGTGTCCGGGATCAATGGATCACTCAACTCCAAACCGCACTCAAAACCCACAGTATGTAAAGCAGAAAATAACACCCTTAATCATTCATCCAGACTCATTATTCTCTAATGACTCATTAACGTCTCTCCCTTCATCTGCTTCTCTGTTATCAGGCCCCTCGCGTCCTCACAGGTTGTTGGTGTTCATTAATCCTTTCGGAGGAAAGAAGAGGGGGAAACAGATCTTTCACTCTCTAGTGGCCCCTCTGTTTGAGCTGGCTGGCATCAGCTCTCATGTTGTGGGTAAGATACTGAGACTCTATCTGTACCGTTCAATAACTGAGCAGTTATCAAGTGTCCCCCCGCTTGGTCTCTGATATGCCGTGCACGTCAGGTAGTACAGTTCTCAAGTAACATCCGTAGATCTTTATCAAGACTTTGGAAGAGGGCTCAATTAAGTAGCAAATTTATATAATCGAATTGTGACAAAATAGCATGTCCCTATTAATAGTTTACATTATTTATTTATTTATTTTATATACTATTTTTACTTTTATAACTAAATATGCAACACATTGTAAAGGGGTCATTTCATCATTCTATAAAAAATAGTATACTATATATACTACATTACATACACACTATCATTCAAAAATTGAGGTCAGTAAGATTGTTTTTTCAATTATTTAATTTTTCTTAATAAAATAAGAAAAATCTTATCTTTCATAATCTTTCATCAAGGGCACATTAAATTGGTAAAAAAAAGTGACAGTAAATACTTTCATAATGTTACAAAAGATTTCTACTTCATTTAAAAATGGAATAAAGATTTCATAAGAAGAAATTCTATTTCATATCGTTTTTACTGTATTTTTGATTAAATAAATGCAGCTTTGGTGAACATAAATAATAATTAATTTAATAAATAATAAATTTAAAAAATATTATATATGTATATTTGTAGCTATATATATACAGTATATATATATATATATATATATATGGGTTTATTTGTAGCAATAGCCAAAAATACATTGTATGGGTCAAAATGATCGATTTTTCTTTTATACCTAAATTCATGTTCCATGAAGATATTTTGTACATTTCCTACCGTAAAAATATCAGTGTCATTTTTGATTAGTAATATGCATTGCTAAGGACTTCATTTGGAGAACTTTAAAAGCGATTTTCTCAATATTTTTATTTTTTTTGCACCGTCCCTCAGAATATATATATTATTTTTTTCTCTATATTTTGAATGGTGTGGTATTTGTTTAATTATATATAGAAATATGTGTGTGTGTGTGTGTGTGCTAAATATGCAAGGGAAAAGTATTATATATATCCCTAGCATGTTTAATTATTATTAATAAAAAAATATTTATGATTATTTTATTATAATTAATTAAGTAATGTTCATTTGTCAATAATTGTAGGAGTCATTTAATGTAATTTAATAAATTAAATTTCTGGACTGGTTTTGTGTACTAAAAATTCATACATAGAACAACTCTTATTTCAAAAGATCAAGGAAAACTAGGTTTCACATTATATAACCTCATTAAACAAAGGTACAGAGCAATTTGAAATAAAACTGGGTGATGTTTCTTGTTTTTAGTGACTGAACGTGCAAATCAGGCCAGAGACTACATCCTGAAGAAAGACTTAACAGGGTTTGATGGGTAAGTGATCGTTCAGTGGACATTCCTTATGAATAAAGATTCAAGAATGTATGGTAACAATGGTGTCATTGTAATAATTCATGTCACATGCGCCCTGTCCTCTGTATTTTGTTGTTAAAGCAGAAGTGTTGCCTTAATACCTGCAAGGCAATCGTAGAAATATGCATCACTATATTTCAATCAAGTCTGCTGAGAATACTCTATATTTAGGTTTTAGGAAGTCAAATCTTTTTTGCCTGTACAGAGTCATATGCGTGGGTGGAGACGGCATGTTCAGTGAGCTGCTGCACGGCGTGATTGGACGAACCCAGAAGGAGGCGGGAATTTCAGAACACGAGCCGACTGTAATGCTGCAGCCGTGTGACCTCCACATTGGCATTATTCCAGCAGGTGAACGTTTGCATAGCTCTGTGACTGACATGCGTGCGGAAGAGGGTGGCGATTGTGGTCTGTTCATAGCACTGATGCATGGTTTAGATAGTGAGAGGAGTGTTAGTTTACCTCCCTGTGTTTACTCTTCTCCACAGGCTCTACAGATTGTGTGTGTTTCACTACCATAGGCATAAATGACCCTGTGACATCGACGCTGCACATCATCATTGGTAATCTGCACATCATCTTTAACGGATGTCAAAATTTAAACAATAAAATGTCGGTCAAGACTAGACTACTGTATATAACTCGATCTTTTTCCCTTTTTAACTCACCAGGAGACTCTCAGCCTCTGGATGTGTGTTCTGTCCATTATCAGTCAACACTGGTGCGTTATTCAGTCTCTATGGTGGGTTATGGTTTTTATGGAGATGTTTTGGCAGAGAGCGAGAGGCACCGCTGGATGGGCCCTCTTAGATATGATTATTCAGGTATATACGATATAGTATATACTATATGCAAATATAGTTTAGACTGAATACTGATATGTAGGTCAACACTTATTACTTACCTTAATACATATATAATCATAATTGTGAGAGGAGAAAGAGACCTCAATCCCAACTCTGCTCATATTCCCATGTCTGTTTGCTCTGCTTGTAGGTTGTATGGTGTATTTGTGTAACAGGAGCTATCCGGGACTAGTGCAATATCTCCCTGCTGATTCCCATATCTCCAGCCCAAGGGACAACACTCGCTGCCTCTCAGGGTCAAGACTTGCATTCGTTTTTTTACCTGGAAATCACATTCGAAACATTTTATTTGCATATATAACAGTAAAATACAGTGAAATAATTTTCACTCAGAAATTGCTAGTAAATTTAAAAGAAACAGCAAGTAACACATTGAGGTAAACTTGACATTTTGAATTAGAAAGACTTAAATAGTATTTTCTTGTAAAACATCTCTCTCTCGCTATAATATATATATATATATATAGAGAGAGAGAGAGAGTATATATATAGTGATTTTAAAAAGCATTTTAAGTAGGTTGAATGGTCAGTATTGAGCATTGTTATTTTTTCAATTACCACTGACACAACATTCGGAATCAACACTCACAAAGCACCTAATGTGAGTTAAATTATATACAAAAAATAATAATTAATAAAGATCAAAATAAATTAATAAATTTTAATATAAAAATATATATTTATAAATACATTTTTATTTATAATTTTTTTTATGTATTTAATACTATTTTATACTAATTTTATTTATACTTTAACACTCAAAAGTGCCTAATGTCTGTAAAATTGCCTATATAATTATGACATTATGTTTTACATTTATTTAATAAATTGTAGGAGCAATAATAATAGTAATAAATATTAATTAATAACGAAAATAAAAAATACATTTAAAAATAAAAATAACAATTAAATAATACATTACAAATCAATGAAAATGTAAATTAAATTATGAAAAATATTATGTTTATTTATATTTTTTAATGTATTAATGTTTTATACTAATTCATTTATCTTTTATTTGTTTTTATTTTTTTAACCTGTATGTGGAATTACATGCCCATGTGTTACGGGGCTGACAAGACGTGAGACGTGCGGATCCATGTGCAAGCTTTTATTGAAAGCAGAAGAGGTCAGAAACACAGGCAGGGTCGAACAATGGCAAACAGGTATATGGCGGGCAAGACACAAGAATAATCCTAGGGCTAGCGTGGGTCTTCGATCGGCGAACAGTTTCCAGAGGGCTTGACAAGAGGGGTAATCCGTAAACGTGAGCAGAAGTCCAGGCAAGGAGCAAACACAGTCCGAAAACAGCAAGCAAAGGGTTAATCCAAGATACGTGGCAAGAATCAGGAACCAGGAAAACAGGCAAGGCAAGACGATGACTAGACTATGCAAACTAGAGCAGGCTCCGTAAAGTAGCTATCAGCTATCACAGTGATAAACGCTAAACAATACTCGGCCAAAATGGTGTTTGAGTGAGTGTTATATAGTGAATGGAAGTCCATGGACAGGATTCGTGACACCATGAGCAAAGATAGCAAGATTTAAATTGCATACTTTGTGGGGTCTTGCATCAGCCAAATAACCACTATTGAGAATGGCAGTCCTCACGGATAACTCTGACCAGCTATTACACGTCTTGGTTTTTACAGCTCCAACAAATTTTTAAAAGCATGTTTGCGTGTGTAACTGCAGGTGCAGAGTATGTTCAGAGAGCAAAGAGAGGCTGTTCCCTCACTTTGACAGCTCCAGTTCCCTCTACAGCACTAATGTGAGCCAATACAGCAGTGAGTTGGAGGGTAAGACCATCTGCTGTCTGTTTGTATAATGATTGTCTGTCATCATCTCATTAGAAACCTATTACTGGGATCACACTGTGCTGTGTGTCTCTATGGGGTTCATATGTTGTACGTCTGTATTTGACCGTTGTCATGTAAGTACCCAAGTGTGCTTGGGTAGACCTACAGTACAAAGACATCATGCAGTTATGATGTAGACTAGAATTACTGATTAAATGATTTTAGGATCTTGAACCTTTTATTATTGTTTTTATCTCAGGTGAGTGGGTGACTGTTGAAGGCAGGTTCAAGTGCATCTCTCTCGCCTGTATTTCAAGCTCATGTCCACGGAGCCCAAAGGGTCTTTCGCCATCCGCTCACTTGGCCGACGGGACGGCAGACCTCATCCTGGTGCGAGAAACAAACCCTCTGGGCTTTCTCACGTATCTTCACAGGCACACAAACACGCAGGATCAGGTAAAACCAAATGACATTCAAGAACACTAACTCTCAGCTAAAAGTTAAATCAGTCAGACAAACAAAACTTCTATACTTTCAGTTTGACCTGCCCTTTGTTGAAGTTCATCGTGTCAAGGCTGTTCGGTTTTCTCAACCCCCTGGAGAAGAAGAAGAAGAGGAGGAGGAGTATGAGGAGGGTGATCGAGAAATTCAGGCCTCCGCTGAGAGAGTGCTGGAGGATCCTGAGAAACTGAGCAGTAGTAAAGCTGCAGGTCACTCACAGCAGCATCTTGCAGGGAGGAAGGAGAGAGGAAATGTGACAACGAGTAGAGTAAAGAGACGAGGCTTCGTGTGTTGGCCCTGCTGCACTAAACCTCGCTCGATATCAGTGTGGAACTGCGATGGAGAAATTCTACCTCACACCGAGATCTCATGCAGGTATTAAGATCAGTCTGCTGAGCAAGTCTGAGCTATTTAATTGGAGAAGCATAGCTAACATGCAAAAAAAAAAAAAAAAAAAATTTATGTAATTTTAATCCAGTTACTCAGTAGCAATTTACATGAAAAAACTCAATCCTGCTATTAATATATAGTAATCACATATTACCATTCAAAAGTTTAACATAAGATTTGAAGATGTCAGGCTCTTAAAATCTTGGTAATCTTAAAAAAATCTTAGAAAGAGGGTTTTTTTTTTTTTAAGAAATTACTTTTTTCAGCAAGAATGAATTAAATTGACTAGACATTTGTAATGTTACAAAAGATTTCTATTTAAAAACATTTTAAAATGCTGTTCTTTTGAAGCATCAATAATAATTGAACATCAAATTAAAGATCAAAGATCATGTGACACTGAAGACTGGAGTAATTCTGCTTTGCATCACAGGAATAAATGCAGTCTATTTTAAAATGCAGTCAAATGGGGTGGGCGATATACTGGTAGACACGATTAACCAGTAGAGATTTTCGACTATCGTCTCTATCGCGGTTACATGCTCACATGATGCTGCTGTGCTACGTGGTCATGAAAGCGTATGGTTAGCATGCGTTTTAAGCATTGCAGTTTGAAAACAAGTTATTTTAAGCCGTTGAAATGCAATCAGCAATGAAATCAAACTCATTTTGCTATATGCACGCGCTGTCAGAGAGACTGTTTATGAGATGCACTCACACATGAAGACGGTGCTCATAGAGCGCAGGAGTTTTGAACGGGAGTATGAGTTATTTTTGCCACTTTATAGGATTTGAACCGTTAAATACACACACTTGTATGTGTCGAAATGCTCATCTTTGCAAGTATCCTCGTAAACACAGTAATTTAGGTCTTAAATGAAAGCAAACAGCTGAGGGAAAAAAAAACACGTGTAACAGTATATTGGATCCAGGCAGCTCTTAGAGTGACAGCAGTCTAATATTCCTGCTGATTCTTGGGATTTAAGAATCGATATCGTTCCGTAAAAATGAGAATCGATTAAAATCGATATATATATATTTTTTACCCAGCCCTAGAGGAAAGGCTATACACGATCCGCCACCTGCAGGATCCTCACATGCGATAGCCTAGTAGCGGGACAACTTCTTTATGTTTACCGAAGTGACGTAATGACGCAGCGGCATGCTCGATTTTCCCGCGAAAACCTACCAGTACCACTCAAATTAGAAAACATTATTATAAGCTGACCTTTGTGAATCTGGCTAAAGTAAGGCAATAGTTTTGAACATTGGCTGGTTATGTACTTGCTCAAATATTGATTTCGGATCATCTTTAACCAAAAAAAGTTACGGACTGCAGCTTTAAGCAATATCACACGAGCAGTCCAATATCACATAAATGCAAATGTGATACTGATCTTATACAACAGTTCAGTAAGTAAGAAGTTAATATTGTTTCAAAGCAAAGGCGTCATGCCCATTCAAAGTGAGGGGACACGTGCCCCCTCAGATTTTTGAGTCAAGTGAATTTTGAATGCAGCTTCCAAAAGACAAAAAAATAGCTGATTAGTATTTTCTATATTTAATACAATCACACCAGCCTGATTAGAACATTCAGCTCGTCATATCATCAGCTGCTAGATTCAAATCTGCGTTGGCTGCCTGGCACTGAGCCAGATACAGACGCGTTTTACAGCACTGCGCATTTATAACCAATCACACACGATGCTGTTGAGCTTATGAATGCAATGACCAATCAGAAGTGTTCGCCCTGCTTCAAAGTACCGTGAGAGCGATTCAAAAGTATAAGGAGCCGTCTGCTGTCTATAGCTCTTGCTGTACTTTGATGCCACACCGATCGGTTTGATGGTGACGATCCGCTTCAAGTCGAACAAGCCTAATGATTCAATTGACAATTCATAAAGAACAATTTACTTCACTCCTGAATGAACCAGACATTTTAACGAATCAAATGAATAAATAAATGACTCGATGACTTAATCATTAAGACATTTACCACCACCTACTGGCAGTTTTAGTTTATTATTT